TAAGGGTATGACACACGCTCACATATACACCCACGCTCAAAATTTAAATATAGAGATATTTCTGTGGGAAAAAAAAAAGTATTGGGGGGCCCCCAGAGAGGGTTTTCCAAAAATTCCCTTACTTTTTTCTTTTACTGACACTACAAAAAAAAATATTAATTATGTATAATTTTTGGGCCCTTTTCCACTCCCTTTCCCTTTTCAAACTTTATTATTTTAAAAACCCCTATTATTATTATTATTGTCATAACGTTTATTTTATCTCTTCCTTCAGTAATATTTTTTATATTTATTTATTCCTTCTTCTTGAATACTTAATTAGTGGATATTGTTTGTGTTCTTAATTACATTTAGTGTATTCATGGTCCTCTTCATTGCTTTATTCTTAGTCTTTATTGGAGCTTTAGTATTAACTTTCTATATTTTTTTCATTTTTTTATATTCTCAAAGTTACGTTTGTCTTCCTTCACTCGCTCGGTTTTATTTATCTTCTATTTTCATTCTACTGTTTCTTCTCGTTTAGTATTACAATTTTGACAAGCCTTTTTTTTTATCATCAGTCGTCTTCCATTATCACTTTTTTTCGACAAACATTAACCACAAGCTGTGGCTCTCAGCTCAATGGTAACACCTCGCAGGTCACAATAGAAGGACCCGGGCTCAAGCATGTGCTGATAAGTTTCCTTACACCTGCTGCTGCTGTCCCTGTTCACCTAGCAGTCATTCAGTACCTGGATAACCTACTGCTGTGGGTCGCATCCTACTGCAGAAGGATGGTAGTATACTTAATTAGGGAGGGAGGGGGGGCTAGGCTTAGAAAAGAACTCAGATAGGATAACTTTAAATAGGGAGATAGGATAGGGATAGGCTTTCAAATGAACTGAGACAGGATAATAGTTTTCATCTTGTAAATTAAACGATTTAAACAAAATTATACCAAATTTAGGCAGTCAGATGTACTTATAATATCAGATAGGCTATCACTATAGGTCCAATCATAAACAATCACAATCATAAACAATCACAATCATAAACAATCACAATCATAAACAATCACAAGCCAGTAATCATATAAAGCTAATCGCAAAGGTAATCATAAACAGGTAATTAAAAAGAGGTAATCACTAGCAAGTAATCACGAAGAGGTAGGTAATAATTACCTACCTGAATGTGATCTATTTGCGATTATTATCACAAATAAATCATGCATATGTAATGCCACTCAAACAGAAAATTCAACATCGCATATTTGCGTAGCACTTACAAATATAAACTGCAACTCACATGATCTCAGTAAGCATGACCTTTGTAGCGTCTTCACGCCTTGGCTTCCACCACCCCTCCATACCTGACCACTACCAGTTCCTCTCTCCACTTTTAATGGTCCGCTCACATTTTCCGTTCACAGGATATATACCCTGAAGGCTGTATTTCTCTCAACGTATATATGCCGAGAGTTTACTTTAGTCCTTACTTTAGGGGTGAAGGTATTCTTGTTTGATGTTGAACAGGCTACTGTTACAGAATTAATGACCATCAAATAGTCGATAGACTTTAAATTTCATTAACCAACCAAGTGTTTATGTATGAATATGTACTCACCTAATTGTGGTTGCTCCTGGCCCCGCCTTTTCACTGGTCGCTACTAGGTCCTCTCTCTCCCTGCTCCATGAGCTTTATCATACCTCGTCTTTAAACTATGTATGGTTCCTGCCTCCACTACGTCACTTGTCAGACTATTCCACTTCCTGACAGATCTATGACTGAAGAAATACTTCCTAACATCCCTTTGATTCATCTAAGTCTTCAACTTCCAATTGTGACCCCTTGTTTCTGTGTCCCAGCTCTGGAACATCCTGTCTCTGTCCACCTTGTCTATTCCACGCAGTATTTTGTATGTCGTTATCATGTCTCCCCTGACCCTCCTATCCTCCAGTGTTGTCAGACCGATTTCCCTTAACCTTTCTTCATAGGACATTCCCCTTAGCTCTGGAACTAGCCTTGTTGCAAACTTTTGCACTTTCTGTGTGTGTGTGTGTGTGTGTGTGTGTGTGTGTGTGTGTGCGTGTGTGTGTGCGTTTGTTTAAATTTGTACGTATCTATGTGAATTTGAGTGTATCTTTATATATTTAGGAATAACCCACAGTGCAAAGTGAGATGTAGCAACTATTTTAGGTCCAGTTATAGACACTTCAAGGGAAAAATATATCGTACTTTGAGGCGTAGGTTATTCCAGTGTTTTATGGTTAGTGTATGGTGGTTTATTATCAGGCAGCAGAACATAAGTCTCCTGGGGAAAATAAGACACGCTCCGTGGCCTGGTTGCTAAAGCTCTCCCTTCACATGGCGAGGGTAGAAACACTGGGCATGTTTCTTTACACTGGTTGTCTTGTTCATCATCAGTAAAATAGGTACCTGGGTGTTAGTTGACTGTTGTGGGTCGCATCCTGGGACAAAACTTACCTAATTTGCCCGAAATGCTCAGCATAACAATGGGCTTTCTATATAGTAGTATGTCATTGATGTCAGCTATGGTCTGTATACTATGTACATGGTCACAGACCGGGCCGCGGGGGCGTTGACCCCCGGAACTCTCTCCAGGTAAACTCCAGGTAAACATGTACTTGTAGTAAATAAAGATATTATATTACATTGTAAATTTAGTCTGCCCATAATGCCATGGCATAATAGTGGCTCTCTCTGCACTGCAACTCATTACATTATTGTAATGACATGATCTCAATGTAATCTTGCAAGGAAATAAAAGTTGTATTGTATAGATGTGTCGCCTGCTAGTAAATTTATGAACCCAATGTGTTTATTATCAAATTGGATTGCCATAAAAACTGAAAACTCTCGTTTTTAATTATCACGAGTTTAGTGAACCTTTACAAACACTGTGTCAGAGCCGTCATATTTTCAGTTACATTGTTCTCGTCCTCAACTAACTTGCTCCTCGACTTTCGTTAATAACTTCAGAACGCCTAACCCGATCGGAATTAAATTTTGATCCCTGGTCAACTGTTACTAGGTGAAAGTTGCTGGAACAACTGACAAGTGTTGGTGCTCTCTGCTCAGTTTTATTTAGAACATTCCCGAAATTTTATTCCATGAAATAATCTTTAGAAAGCCTCTTCTGATCAGCTTAAAAATGTCAACATTTGTGCATCGTACTAATATGATTGTTGGTATTGTTAATGGAGTGTGTAGGCGTCTTTGTCATTACTGAATTGTTTCCTGAAGTGTGGTACCTTAATGCTGGTGGGGCTCTTGATCCAAGGGACTGGATTTATCTTCCCCTTGACTGGATCAGATATGAACTGCCTCTCATTATACAGGCGCTTTACCATCTCTACGAGTGTAGCGCTTTCCTCTGATTAAATAAAGCAATTGTGAATGGAATCAATCTTTAAAGGGTGATGCGTCGTACGAAATAGTCGAAATATTCCATGGGTTTAGGCAGTGGAGGTGCCACTATAGTCCACACCGGTTACATCAAATGGCTTTAACAGTTGTACACGTTCCCTTGGTAATGGTGTAGGACCAGGGTACATATAGGTTCTGACATCCACAGGTGCAAATTTGGTTGGATTCTGTGCAGTAACTACCAGTAACAGCCTGGTTGATCAGACCCTGATCCACCGCGAAACCCTCTCCAGGTATACTCCAGGTAGCTAGAAAATGCATCTTGTGGTCGACTTTAAACTTTTAGTGTTGATGTAGTATTTTCCTCAAATGAAACAATCTTTTGATGTTATGTTGTGTAAGTTTTAATGTCCAAATTTTAGTAATCAAATTAGTAGCTGTGAAATAATTGGATAATGTTTCTCCTGATTAGAAATAAGTTGCGGTGTCAGGCTTTATTGGGTTATTCTAGGTTAAATCTACATAATGTGTCTTAGTATCTATAACATCTGTGTGCCCCTCAAGGCTATTATAAAAAAAATAATGTTATATACACAAGGTTGAAATAAAACTAGCGTAAGCGTTTACTTATTTGTTTAAAACCTAGTTTTTTTAATTAGAGAAAATTTTGAATTAATTTTGCTCTGTGTAGTTCCACTTATTTTTTTTTTTTTAAATGTCCAGAAAATTTAACTTCTGCTTTTCATGTGATAATTTTGAGTGTCTCAATGATCAGTTTCAAACCTTCATCGCTGATAATTTGAAACTACAACTTTTGAACTGCTTCAAGTTTAATGTTCTGGTGTATTTTAGGATATTGGTCTCACTGGCAACAAGAGAATACCTCTTAAGTTTACCCTCAAAGTTAGTACGTATTTCTTAGTGGACGGTTTGAATTAGATCTGGGCTGTGTGTATCCTAATTTACCATTTTATTGAAGAAATTGGGGTATTAGTTTCCATGTGATAACTTGTGAAAACCTCTTCTGATTCGCTTCAATCCTTCAACATTAATATTTAACAGCATTACAAACTTACGCCGCACTCTGCACGATTCCAATCGCGTGCATTGTGACACGTAATAGGACTGGCGTTATCAAATGTGGGGATATCTTTTTTTCCGGATCGTTCAGCGCCCGAAATGCTTCTAGCTTGTATAGTATTTTCTAAAATATATTATATACATTCCAGCATGGAAGTATGTTTTCCACATTCGATGAGCTATGACGCACGAAGCCTAGACACTGCCGGGACGCTCTCACCTGTCCCTGCTTCTCACACGCCACCTGCTCAATCCCTCTACCAGTCACTCCCCTCTTCTAATCCACATTTCCTTTCTTTCTCCTTTCTTGTCCCCCTCTTTTCCCCTCTTTTAATTTCTCCCATGTTTCTTCTTTCTTTGCTCCTTCTCTCTTGCTTCCCCTTTTCTTGTGTCTACTCAGCTGTATGTGGTTACACACACACACACACACACACACACACACAGCCAGGAGCTATGAATCGACCCTTACAGCCACAATTAGGTGAGTACACATACACACACACACGTGCACATGCGAGTTGATACTAAAGGAAGATATGTAGTGAGGTACCTACCTGCTGGCTGAAGGGGTGTGTATGGGGACAGTCTCCTGAGCCTTGGACTCATTCTGCACCGGCAGGAGGCCAGGAGGCAGCGGCACCTCCTCCTCCAGATCCGAGTCCTCTGAGCTTTCTTCCCGGCAGCAGAGGCAGCGACAGCAGGTACTGGTCATGGTGGCTGGAGCCAAGATGTTGCTCAAATGGGAGCGCCTCAGGCGAGATCACCTGAGTCGTTAGCTTCTAATGGTGTACACAATGGTATCTGTTGAGGTAGAGGCGAATGCTTGTAGCAGGTGGTGTTGTGGTGGGTCACAGCAGAGCGACCACTGGCTTCTGGTGAGGATCAGGTCTGAGTACTACTGTACTACTAAGACAAGTGAAGAAAGGCCGTTCTGTACAGTCACACACCTGGTTGTATAGTCACTATATCACACACCTGGCTGTGCCCTCACCATATGTCACGCACCTGGCTGTACCGTCACTTCGTCACACACCTGGGTGTACCGTCACTGTTCGTCACACACCTGGCTGTACCGTCACTTCGTCACACACCTGGCTGTACCGTCACTGTACGTCACACACCTGACTGTACCGCCACTTACGTCCCATACCTGGCTGTACCGTCACTGTAGGTCACACACCTGGCTGTACCGTCACTGTACGTCACACACTTGCGACTAAAATATTAGAAGAGCTTCGACAGTTAGGAGACAGGTTTGTCGCATGACTGACCCAAACAGCAATAAACCTACAAGGTATCCACACTAGTACCAGGGACCCACACTAGTACCAGGGACCCACACTAGTACCAGGGACCCACACTAGTACCAGGGACCCACACTAGTACCAGGGACCCACACTAGTACCAGGGACCCACACTAGTACCAGGGACCCACACTAGTACCAGGGACCCACACTAGTACCAGGGACCCACACTAGTACTAGTGAAGCACACGCTAGTAGCAGGGACCCACACTATTAGTAGTAAAGCACACGCTAGTACCAGGGACCCACACTAGTAGTAGCGATGCACACACTAGTACCAGGGACCCACACTAGTAGTAGTGATGCACACGCTAGTACCAGGTACCCACACTAGTAGTAGTGATGTACACGCTAGTACCAGGGACCCACACTAGTAGTAGTGATGCACACGCTAGTACCAGGGATCCACACTAGCAATAGTGATGTACACGCTAGTACCAGGGACCCACACTAGTAGTAGTGATGCACACGTTAGTACCAGGGACCCACACTAGTAGTAGTGATGCACAGGCTAGTACCAGGGACCCACACACTCGTATCACAATCTATACTCTAGTACTTGGGACACATATTCTAGTACCAGGGACCCATACTAGCACCAGGGACCCACACTAGTACCAGGGACCCACACTGGTACCAGGGACCCCACACTAGTACCAGGGGCACACACTAGTACCAGGAACCCACACTAGTACCAGGGATCCACATCAGCACTAGGGACCCACACTAGTACCAGGGACCCACACTAGTCCCAGGGACCCACACTATTATCAGGGACCCACACTAGTACCAGGGACTCACACTAGTACCAGGGACCCACACTAGTACCAGGGACCTACACTAGTACCAGGGACCCACACTAGTACCAGTGACCCACACTAGTACCAGGGACCCACACTAGTACCAGGGGCCCACACTACTACCAGGGACCCATACTAGTACCAGGGACCCACACTAGTACCAGGGACCCACACTAGTACCAGGGATACACACTAGTACCAGGGATACACACTAGTACCAGGGACCCACACTAGTACCAGGTACCCACACTAGTACCAGGTACCCACACTAGTACCAGGGACCCACACTAGTACCAGGGACCCACACTAGTACCAAGAACCCAGACTAGTACCAGGGACACACACTAGTACCTGGGACCCAGACTAGTACCAGGGACCCACACTAGCACCAGGGATCCACACTAGTACCAGGGACCCACACAAGTACCAGGGATCCACACTAGTACCAGGGACCCACACTAGTACCAGGGACCCACACCAACACCGTTCAGAGCCTTGTATTAGCTACTGCAAATTTACTGTTGCTACATTTTCATAACAAAGGGGCTAAACCCATGTGGGTCATGCGTCATTTATGTCCGCTTCTGAAAACTGTATGTGTCATGTTAAAGCTTCGGATATGTACGTAAATAGAATACTCCGTATTTTTCTCAAAGATAAAATTACGAGAAAGTGCTCGATGTTCGCTAAAGTCACGGGAAAGTGCTCGATGTTCGCTAAAGTCACGGGAAAGTGCTCGATGTTCGCTAAAGTCACGGGAAAGTGCTCGATGTTTCGCTAAAGTCACGGGAAAGTGCTCGATGTTCGCTAAAGTCACGGGAAAGTGCTCGATGTTCACTAAAGTCACGGGAAAGTGCTCGATGTTCGCTAAAGTCACGGGAAAGTGCTCGATGTTCACTAAAGTCACGGGAAAGTGCTCGATGTTCGCTAAAGTCACGGGAAAGTGCTCGATGTTCGCTAAAGTCACGGGAAAGTGCTCGATGTTCGCTAAAGTCACGGGAAAGTGCTCGATGTTTACATTAGCAACTCTTCCTAGTCAGCTGTTTCATCTTCCAGAGTCTGCCTCTGGTCCTAGTATGACTTTTTTTTCTATCTGTATTTAATTAAATACCTTACGGAAAAGACCCGGGCCGAGACCATACTGGCGAACCACTTCGACCTCGTACTTAATTAAATAAAAGTTGGAAGGGAACGAGATTATCATATTACCAAGGGTCGGCACTCAGAAGAGAGGAAGATCAACAATAACATCATCTTGGGGATGCAATAAAACGACAGGTGTGCAAGGTCAGTGGTGACACCATATGGAGAGACAGTGACACGGCAGGTGTGCAAGGTCAGTGGAGACACCAGCTGGGAAGACAATGGCACGGCAGGTGTGGAGGGTCAGTGGAGACACCAGCTGAGAAGACAATGGCACGGCAGGTCTGGAAGGTCAGTGGTGACACCAGATGGAGAGACAATGACACAACAGGTGTGTAAGGTCAGTGGAGACACCAGCTGGGAAGACAATGGCACGGCAGGTGTGGAGGGTCAGTGGAGACACCAGCTAGAGGAACAATGGCACGGCAGGTATGTAAGGTCAGTGGTGGAGACACCAGCTGGACAGACACTGGCACTACAAGTGATGAGAGCCAACAATGTACTACACATGAGGTGGGTCAGTGACTTCATAATCCGTGTGGTGGTGGGCTACAGGTGTTCAGGTCATCAGCAGTAGGACATGTAGAGACGATGGAACTACAAGTTTCGGAAACCAACAGATGCTGCAGCTGTGGTATTAGTAGCAAGCTGTACACCTGTCACTGCTCTCTGCAACACACCTGCAGAGACACAACAAAGATATAACACATACACTCGCATTACCTTACTCAACTCAGGCTGCAACATCTGAGTGTAATGAATATTTGTCATCGGGAGAATATAATCCACAACAAGACGAACAGAAGAAAGTTTGTATATCTCTACCTCCAGGTGAAGTCCTGCTGAAGAGGACCTCAGATAGAGGTCAAAATACAAACTCTACGTGGGCTATATTCTATACTCCCACAAATATAAATATTTAAAGAATTCACAAAGTCTGAATATGCATTACTCTTAAATTTCGACAAAGCCAATTTGAAAGTTCCTGAGAAGGAAAACTAAATATTTCTTGTGTGTGTGTGTGTGTGTGTGTGTGTGTGTGTGTGGTGTGTGTGTGTGTGTGTGTGTGTGTGTGTGGTGTGTGTGTGTGTGTGTGTGTGCCCGTACGTTCACCTCTTTCATCCTCGTAACTAAAATATTGTATAAATAATCAAATATAAAAATCTTCCCCAGCGACGACAAAACTCCGAAAGATTTGTGTTGTGTCGTTAGTGAAGGATCTCACCCTTCAAGATGGCTGCTTTGATGCAAACCGGAGCTACCCTTCTCTTCTTTGGATATAACCTCCCTCTTCAAAGGCACTCTGTGACCATTACGAATTAAGTACTCCCCAGTAATGTCATAATAATAATAATAATAATAATAATAATGGTTGAGGAGAGGACGGCACACTAGACTGTGACGCGGCCTGACCCTTTGCGTTTCTGTCTTGCCTCAGACAGAACTTTTCCTCCTACTGTCTGTTGCTAGCCTACCAGCATCGCATAGCTCCTGACGACGCACAGAGTGCGAAAGATCTTGAGCTAAAGATTTCCAGCCTCATGTGGCTTGTTCATGTGTGGGTGTGTACTCACCTAGTTGTGGTTGCAGGGGTCGATTTACAGCTCCTGGCCCCGCCTCTTCACTGGCTGTTACTGGGTCACTCTTCCTGCTCCATGAGCTTTATCATACCTATTCTTAAAGCTACGCATGGATCCTGCCTCCACTACATCGCTTCCCAGACTCTGTGACTGATGAAATACTTCCTAACATCTCTGTGAATCATCTGAGTCTTCAACTTCCAACTGTGGCCCCTTGTTGCTGGGTTCCATCTCTGGAACATTCTGTCTCTGTCCACCTTATCGATTCCTCTCAGTATTTTATATGTCGTTATCATATCCCCCCTATCTCTCCTGTCTTCCAATGTAGTCAGGTCGATTTCCCTTAACCTCTCCTCGTTGGACATACCCCTTAGCTCCGGGACTAGTCTTGTTGCAAACCTTTGGCCCGGTGGCCTGGTGGCTAAAGCTCCCGCTTCACACACGGAGGGCCCGGGTTCGATTCTCGGCGGGTGGAAACATTTCGACACGTTTCCTTACACCTGTTGTCCTGTTCACCTAGCAGCAAATAGGTACCTGGGTGTTAGTCGACTGGTGTGGGTCGCATCCTGGGGGACAAGATTAAGGACCCCAATGGAAATAAGTTAGACAGTCCTCGATGACGCACTGACTTTCTTGGGTCATCCTGGGTGGCTAACCCTCCGGGGTTAAAAATCCGAACGAAATCTTATCTTATCTTATCTTATCTCTAGTTTCCTTACGTGCTTGGCTGGTGTGGGTTCCAAACTGGTGGTGCATACTCCAATATAGGCCTGACATACACGGTATACAGGGTCCTGAACGACTCCTTATTAAGATGTCGGAATACTGTTCTCAGGTTTGCTAGGCGCCCGTATGCTACAGCAGTTATTTGGTTGATGTGCACCTCAGGAGATGTGCCCGTTGTTATACTCACCCCAAGATCTTTTTCCTTGAGTGAAGTTGGTAGTCTCTGGCCCCCTAGACTGTACTCCGTCTGCGGTATTCTTTGCCCTTCCCCAATCTTCATGACTTTGCACTTGGTGGGGTTGAACTCCAGGAACCAGTTTCTGAATCGAGCCTGCAGCCTGTCCAGATCTCTTTGTAGTCCTGCCTGGTCCTCGTCTGGCTGGATTCTTCTCATCAACTTCACATCATCTGCAAACATGGGCACTTCGGAGTCTAATCCTTCTGTCATGTCATTCACAAATACCAGAAACAGCATCGGTCCTAGGACTGACCCCTGTGGAGCCCCACTCGTCACAGACGCCCAATCTGATACCTCGCCACGTACCATGACTCGCTGTTGTTTTCCTGACAAGTTTTCCCTGATTCATTTGTAGTGCCTTCCCAGTTATCCCTGCCTGGTCCTCCAGCTTTTACACTAATCTCTTGTGTGGAACTGTGTTAAACGCCTTCTTACAGCCCAGGAAAATGCAATCTACCCACTCTTCTCTTCTTTGTCTTACTGCTGTCACCCTGTCATAAAACTCCAGTAGGTTTGTGACACAGGATTTTCCGTCCCTGTCGGCTAGGTGTTCCACCACTCTTCTCCTGATAATCTTCTCCATGACTGTTTTTTAAAAAAGTTTCTTTTTTTAAAAAATTGGGACTACGTTTGCTATTTTCCATACCTCAGGTAGTTGCCCTGTTTTGATAGATGTGTTGAATATTCTTGTTAGGGGTACACATAGCACCTCTGCTCCCTCTATCAGGACCCATGGAGAGACGTTATCCAGCCCCATCGCTTTTGAGGTATCTAGCTCGTTTAACAGCCTCTTCACTTCTTCCTCGGTTATATGTATTGTGTCCAGCACTTGATGGTGTACCCCACCTTTCCATCTTTCTGGAGTCCCTTCTGTCTCCTCTGTGAACACTTCTTTGAATCTCATGTTGAGTTCCTCACATACTTCGCGGTCGTTTTTTGTGATCTCTCCTCCTTCCTTCCTCAGCCTGATTACCTGGTCCTTGACTGTTGTTTTCCTTCCGATGTGGCTGTATAACAGCTTCGGGTCAGATTTGGCTTTCGCTGCTATGAGATTTTCGTATTGTCTTTGGGCCTCCCTTATTACCTGTGCATATTCGTTTCTGGCTCTACGACTACTCTCCTTATTCTCCTGGTTCCTTTGCCTTCTATGCTTCTTCCATTCTCTAGCACACTTGGTTCTGGCCTCTCTACACCTTTGGGTATACCACGGCTTTCTCGTTATTCCTGTTACCCTTGTGTGTGTGTGTGTGTGTATGTGCACCTACTGTTTATTATAATCTCTGTACTCCAATAATTGGGACTGAAGTGTTTTCGATGGTTGATGAACAGATGACATGCACCCTGAAAGACCCTCGTGTAGTTGATAGGCTTTAAACTCTGCCAACCAACCAATTCCTTTCACTGTAAAGGTGCCGATGCAACGTTCCATGTAAAGGACATAAAGTTAGCTCTGACGACCCTTGGCAGGTGACTCTCTCTCTCTCTCTCTCTGTCACTGTCTGTCTGTCTGTCTGTCTGGCTCTCTCTCTCTTTCTGTCTCCATGTACTTTTCGTCAGCTTCCTTCCCCTCTCTCTTCCTCACTCTCCCTCCCTTACTCTCCCTCCCTCCCTCTCTCTTCCCTACTCTCCCTCCCTCACTCTCTCCTCCCTACTCTCCCTCCCTCACTCTCCCTGACTATCGTTGACGTAAGTAGTTATCACTTCATGACTTAATATTATGACATTTATCTACCCTTGACGAGTGTCATGCCTCAGGTGTCATGTTCCAGGTGTCATGCCACAGGTGTCATGCCCCAGGTGTCATGCCACAGGTGTCGTGTCCCAGGTGTCATGCCACAGGTGCCATGCCCAGGTGTCATGCCACAGGTGTCATGCCACAGGTGTCATGCCACAAGTGTCATAGTCCAGGTGTCATGTCACAGGTGTCTTCCCTCACGTGTCAAGCACAAGGTGTCATTACTTAAGGTGTCATGCCATGGGTATGTTTCCTCGGGTGTCATCACTAAGGTGTCATGCCACAGGTGTCATGACCTATATGTCATTCCTCAGGTATCATTCTGTTATACATTGGCGAGATCATTAACATGATCCAACAGATTGTGATGTGATACAGGAAGTGAGTGCCAGAGTGATACCTGATACTCATCTTCCGCTTCACTCATCATCTTCCTGCTTTAGTTCTCTCTCTCTCTCTCTCTCTCTCTCTCTCTCTCTCTCTCTCTCTCTCTCTCTCTCTCCATCTCTCTCTCTCTCTCTCTCTCTCTCTCTCATCTCTCTCTCTCTCTCTTCTCTATTTGGTTAGCGGTCTAAATATATAGCTGGAATGGGTGTATGAGTGGGTGTAATTAGACCTGCCTAGCATGGGCCAATAGTAATACTGAACTGCATTTATGGCAGTGAATCCGATGCTTCAAGACACTGTATTCCAGGTGATGTATCCCAGGTGATGTATCCCAGACTCTGTATCCCAGGTGATGTATCCCAGACTCTGTATCCCAGGTGATGTATCCCAGACTCTGTATCTCAGGTGATGTATCCCAGACTCTGTATCCCAGGTGATGTATCCCAGACTCTGTATCCCAGTCTCTGTATCTCAGGTGATGTATCCCAGACTCTGTATCACAGGTGATGTATCCCAGACTCTGTATCCCAGGTGATGTATCCCAGTCTCTGTATCTCAGGTGATGTATCCCAGACTCTGTATCCCAGGTGATGTATCCCAGACTCTGTATCCCAGGTGATGTATCCCAGGTGATGTATCCCAGACTCTGTATCCCAGGTGATGTATCCCAGACTCTGTATCCCAGGTGATGTATCCCAGTCTCTGTATCTCAGGTGATGTACCCCAGACTCTGTATCCCAGGTGATGTATCCCAGGTGATGTATCCCAGACTCTGTATCCCAGGTGATGTATCCCAGACTCTGTATCCCAGGTGATGTATCCAAGACTCTGTATCCCAGGTGATGTATCCCAAACTGTATCCCAGGTGATGTATCCCAGACTCTGTATCCCAGGTGATGTATCCCAGACTCTGTATCCCAGGTGATGTATCTAAGACTCTGTATCCCAGGTGATGTATCTCAGACTCTATATCCCAGGCGATGTATCCCAGACTCTGTATCCCAGGTGATGTATCCAAGACTCTGTATCCCAGGTGATGTATCCCAGACTCTATCCCAGGTGATGTATTCCAGACTCTGTATCCCAGGTGATGTATCCCAGACTCTGTAACCCAGGTGATGTATCCCAGACTCTGTATCCCAGGTGATGTATCCCAGACTCTGTATCCCAGACTCTGTATCCCAGGTGATGTATCCCAGAGTCTGTATCCCAGGTGATGTATACCAGACTGCATCCCAGGTGATGTATCCCAGACTCTGTATCCCAGGTGATGTATCCCAGACTCTGTATCCCAGGTGATGTATCCCAGACTCTGTATCCCAGGTGATGTATCCCAGGCTCTGTATCCCAGGTGATGTATCCCAGACTCTGTATCCCAGACTCTGTATCCCAGGTGATGTATCCCAGACTCTGTATCCCTGGTGATGTATCCCAGACTCTTTATCCCAGGTGATGTATCCCAGACTCTGCATCCCAGGTGATGTATCCCAGACTCTGTATCCCAGGTGATGTATGCCAGACTCTGTATCCCTGGTGATGTATCCCAGACTCTGTATCCCAGGTGATGTATCCCAGATTCTGTATCCCAGGTGATGTATCCCAGACTCTGTATCCCAGGTGATGTATCCCAGACTCTGTGTCCCAGGTGATGTATCCCAGTCTCTGTATCCCAGGCGATGTATCCCAGTCTCTGCATCCCAGGTGATGTATCCCAGTCTCTGTATCCCAGGTGATGTATCCCAGTCTCTGTATCCCAGGTGATGTATCCCAGACTCTGTATCCCAGTTGATATATCCCAGACTCTGTATCCCAGGTGATGTATCCCAGACTCTGTATCCCAGGTGATGTATCCCAGTCTCTGTATCCCAGTCTCTGTATCTCAAGTGATGTATCCCAGACTCTGTATCCCAGGTGATGTATCCCAGACTCTGTATCCCAGGTGATGTATCCCAGCTGATGTATCCCAGAGTCTGTATCCCAGGTGATGTATCCCAGTCTCTGTATCCCAGGTGATGTATCCCGGTCTCTGTATCCCAGGTGATGTATCCCAGTCTCTGTATCCCAGGTGATGTATCCCAGACTCTGTATCCCAGGTGATGTATCCCAGACTCTGTATCCCAGTCTCTGTATCCCAGGTGATGTATCCCAGACTCTGTATCCCAGGTGATGTATCCCAGGTGATGTATCCCAGGTGATGAATCCCAGTCTCTGTATCCCAGGTGATGTATCCCAGTCTCTGTATCCCAGACTCTGCATCCTAGGTGATGTATCCCACACTCTGTATCCCAGGTGATGTATCCCAGACTCTGTATCCCAGGTGATGTATCACAGACTCTGTATCCCAGGTGATGTATCCCAGATTCTGTATCCCAGGTGATGTATCCCAATCTCCCAGACTCTGTATCCCAGGTGATGTATCCCAGTCTCCCAGACTCTGTGTCCCAGGTGATGTATCCCAGACTCTATCCCAGGTGATGTACCCCAGATTCTGTATCCCAGGTGATGTATCCCAGCCTCTGTATCCTAGGTGATGTACCCCAGACTCTGTATCCCAGGTGATGTATCCCATGTGATGTATCCAAGTCTCTGTATGCCAGGTGATGTATCCCAGACTCTGTATCCCAGGTGATGTATCCCAGACTCTGCATCCCAGGTGATGTATCCCAGACTCTGTATCCCAGGTGATGTATCCCAATCTCCCAGACTCTGTATCCCAGGTGATGTATCCCAGTCTCCCAGACTCTGTATCCCAGGTGATGTATCCCAGACTCTGTATCCCAGGTGATGTATCCCAGACTCTGTATCCCAGGTGATGTACCCCAGACTCTGTATCCCAGGTGATGTATCCCAATCTCCCAGACTCTGTATCCCAGGTGATGTATCCCAGTCTCCCAGACTCTGTATCCCAGGTGATGTATCCCAGACTCTTTATCCCAGGTGATGTATCCCAGACTCTGTATCCCAGGTGATGTACCCCAGACTCTGTATCCCAGGTGATGTATCCCAGACTCTGTATCCCAGTCTCTGTATCCCAGACTTTGTATCCCAGTCTCTGTATCCCAGGTGATGTATCTCAGACTCTGTATCCCAGGTGATGTATCCCAGACTCTGTATCCCAGGTGATGTATCCCAGTCTCTGTATCCCAGGTGATGTATCCCAGATTCTGTATCCCAGTTGATGTATCCCATACTCTGTATCCCAGGTGATGTATCCCAGACTCTGTATCCCAGGTGATGTATCCCAGACTCTGTATCCCAGGTGATGTATCCCAGACTCTGTATCCCAGGTGATGTATCCCAGACTCTGTATCCCAGGTGATGTATCCCAGATTCTGTATCCCAGGTGATGTATCCCAATCTCCCAGACTCTGTATCCCAGGTGATGTATCCCAGTCTCCCAGACTCTGTATCCCAGGTGATGTATCCCCGACTCTGCATCCCAGACTCTGTATCCCAGGTGATGTACCTCAGACTCTGTATCCCAGGTGATGTATCCCAGACTCTGTACCCCAGGTGATGTATCCCAGACTCTGTATCCCAGGATGTACCCCAGACTCTGTATTCCAGGTGATATATCCCAGACTCTGTATTCCAGGTGATGTATCCCAGACTATGCATCCCAGGTGATGTATCCCAGACTCTGTATCCCAGGTTATGTATCCCAGACTCTGTATCTCAGGTGATGTATCCCAGACTCTGTATCCCAGGTGATGTATCCCAGACTCTGTATCCCAGGTGATGTATCCCAGACTCTGTATCCCAGGTGATGTATTCCAGACTCTGTATCCCAGGTGATGTATCCCAGACTCTGTATCCCAGGTGATGTATTCCAGACTCTCTATCCCAGGTGATGTACCCCAGACTCTGTATCCCAGGTGATGTATCCCAGACTCTGTATCCCAGGTGATGTATCCCAGACTCTGTATCCCAGGTGATGTACTCCAGACTCTTTATCCCAGGTGATGTATCCCAGACTCTTTATCCCAGGTGATGTATCCCAGACGCTGTATACCAGACGCTGTATACCAGACGATGTATCCCAGACGCTAAAACTGCTTCCTGCTGGCCTTCTCAGCGTTATAAATCAACGGTATTATCTGACGGGACGAGTTAATGTCCGTTGTTATTAATGTAGTGTAGTGGCGGTAACAGAAGTACACGAGACAGCGGGAGGACTTGAGTAATGCTTACCTCGGTGGCTATGGTTAGTGGTAGTAGGTGTGTAGTAGTGCTGGTGGAGGTGGAGGGGTAAGAGTGGTAGTGGTGCTTATCACAGTTTTATTTCGTCATGAAGATGAAAAGATGGATCGTAATGTGTCTTATCTTTATGTCGTCTCCTCGTAGTGAATCAGGAAAAAAAAATGCTATCGTGTGTGTGAGGGGGGATGTGTATGTGTACTCACCTAGTTGTACTCACCTAGTTGAGGTTGCGGGGGTGTGTGTGACTGTACTCACCTGTGTGTTTGTGTCCGTACTTGCGTCCGTGTTTGCGTATCAGTGCCTGTGTGTTTGTGTTCATGTGTCTGTGTTTGTGTTTATGTTTACGTGTCTGTGCCTGTGTTTGTGTCTGTGCCTGTGTTTGTGTCTGTGCCTGTGTATTTCTGTGTCTGTGCCTGTGTTTGTGTTCGGGTTCACGTGTCTGTGCATGGGTGTTTGTGTTCACGTATCTGTGCTTGTGTTTGTGTTTGTGTCTGTGTCCATGTGTTTTTGCCTGTGTGTGATGTGTTGTAGTCTTACCGCTCACCCTCTGTCACGGGGTTAACGAAGACAGCTTCCACGTGCTCACAGGTACTCAGTATTTTTCAACACTTGAAAACACTTTAGCTTTAAGACCATCGCGGTCTCACGTTTTAAGGATCTACTCCAAGGTCAATGAACTTACGCGGAGTTCTTCAATATGTTATGAAATTTCCGTGTTCACTCTGATCACAACACCATTCAACATAATTGATAAACGACTGTACTGAATTGTTTCTTGTAAGTCACAGTACTGTAATATAATCTATCCGAGTTTTGAAACCAATGTAAATTGTTTGCGCACTGGAGGAACTTATCCTGAGTGATCTGAGGAGTATATTTGGTTTGTTAAAGACCTCATCATCTAGCTTGGAGTCCAGTACTGAAAGGATAACTAACTTTGCACTCCAGCAAACCATAAATATCCTCTGGTGTGTTCTTTGATCATGTGGTTTGTTTGAGGATATCACAGCAGTCACACCTACGAGGGTGAAGAGGAGTTGTTCCAGTGTTGTTGTGGTGATTCCTAGTGTGATGGTGGGGGTGGTTGTGGTGACTGCGGTGGACCCGTCCAGAGAAAGCGTTGGTGGGGCACTGCCAGCCCTTCCCAGACATACCCCATTACCACCACCACTACCACCACCGCCACTATCACCATCACCACACATATATAGTACAACTTTATTAAAATCACTGAGTGCTCACTCTATGATTGAAGGTTACCCATTTGCGTTCTCCATTAGCAGTGTTGTATTTATAGAGTAATGAGTAATTAAAAAACTGGCACCAACAGGCATCATCATCATCAGCTGGCGCGCGAGTGGTGCCACCCATATGCAGGCCACTCGTGTACGCCACCCGTGTACACGCCACCCATATATACGCCACTTGTGTACACGCGATCCATGCACACACACAACTCTGTGTATATGCAGGCAGAGCAATATTTGGTAGCATTATTGTTGTGGTATAGAAAGTGAACCGTTTTCATGACATCCTGCAGCACCTGTGCCACGGTCTCTTTGTAACCCTACGAAGGTTACTTTAAGTTCATCTAGACTAAGTTCCCTGAACTTAATCTAGATGAACTTCAGTAATCAGGTTCATTCTTCCATTTTTAATTCATAATAGTTATAATTATAACCAGTAAACCGGCGGAAGTCCTCGGTCAGATGACCAAAACCTCCAGCTGTAGATCATCATATAACGAAGACCCGCGTCAGGAAACACATGTCCTGTTTTCTGACAAACATTATACCACGTAAACAAGATGTATACGTATACCGAGAAGTGCACACCTTTCATTGTATACATGATAGTTTAAAGCCTATCAACTACACCAATACCATTAACAACTGGGTGTCTACACTCTAAACTGAATAGTTTGCTATCCTAATGGTACTAAAGTTAACTTATGAGACTGATTATTACTGATTCTACATCATCACTGAACGACTCTAACAACATAATAACACTAACAACATAATAACACTAACAACATAATAACACTAACAACATAATAACACTAACAACATAATAACACTAACAACATAATAACACTAACAACATAATAACACTAACAACTAATACACTAAACATAATACACTAACATAACAACACTAACAACATAATAACACTAACAACATAAACACACTAAACAACATAATAACACTAACAACATAAACATACACAACAAAATAACTACGGGAATAACACTCAACATAATATTCATAAAACATAATAGACAACAAATAAAACGTAACAACTATGAGAACTAACAAATACACACACACATATAAACTAACCATATCAGATAAACAATACTGTTACAGTGAGAACCAAAGATATTCAAAAACTGAGAAGGGGAATTAACGTAAATTAGGATCACACACATCTGATACTCCTTCATGATAAACTGTTAATAGTCAAGAAGAACCTGTGGAAAACGTAGATAAAACTCCATGGAGCTATTATGAAAGTGAATGTCACAGGAAGTACCTGGTTACTGGAGTTATTCCGGAATCACGCCCGGGCCCGGTCTAGAACCTTCCCGGTGGATCAGGGCCTGATCAACCAGGCTGTTACTGCTGGCCGCACGCAGTCCAACATACGAGCCACAGCCCGGCTGATCCGGCACTGACTTTAGGTATCTGTCCAGCTATCTCTTGAAGGCAGCCAGGGGTTTATTGGTAATTCCCCTTATGGCTGGTGGGAGGCTCTTGAACAGTCTTGGGCCCCGGACACTTATGGTGTTTTCTCTTAGTGTACCAATGGCGCCCCTACTTTTAATTGGGGGTATTTCGTAGGGAGTGATTTCTGTGTGCAGATTCGAGACCATTCCTTCCAGGATTTTCCAAGTGTAGATTATGATATATATCTCTCTCCTGCGTTCCAACGAGTACAAGTCAAGTGCTTCCAAGTGTTCCCAGTAGTTAAGGTGCTTGACAAAACTTATACGTGCAGTAAAGGTTCTCTGTACACTCTCAAGATCTGCAATTTCACCTGCTTTGAACGGAGATGTTAATGTACAGCAGTATTCCAGCCTAGAGAGAACAAGTGATTTGAAAAGGATCATCATTGGCTTGGCATCTCTCGTTTTGAACGTTCTAATTATCCATCCTATCATTTTCTTTGCAGTTGTGATCGTGGCACTGTTGTGATCCTTGAAAGTGAGATCCTTAGACATTACTACCCCCAGGTCCCTTACATTATTTTTCTGCTCTATTGTATGGCCAGAGTGTTCCCAAGTGTTCTGTTCTAGTTATTATCCCCTCCAGTTTTCCATAACGGAGTAGTTGTCCACTGGAAAATTTTGTTTATATCTTCTTGGAGGTTAACCGTGTCCTCAATAGATAACAGCCTCGTGCAGATCCTAGTATCGTCTGCAAAGGATGATACAGTGCTGTGGGTTACATCTCAGTCTATGTCTGATATGAGGATGAGGAACAGGATGGGGGCGAGTACTGTGCCTTGTGGAACAGAGCTCTTCACTATGGCAGCCTCCGATTTAACTCTGTTGACCACTATTCTTTGTGTTCGGTTGGTTAGGAAGTTGAAAATCCATCTCCCCACTTTGCCAGTTATTCCTTTGGCACGTATTTTTTGCGCTATTACGCCATGATCGCACTTGCCAAACGCTTTTGCAAAGTCTTTGTATATTACATCTGCATTCTGAAGACTGAGTAGATCTGTCAGTCACTATGATATCATGAACGTAGATAAGTATGTTCATGGAACAACCTGTTACGTGAATAGACTGACTGATGTTGTAGTAGCCAGGCTTATGCTTGGTTACAAGTACTTCTGGCGGTTTGACAACTACACAGATGGTGATCAAACCAAATGCAAAGTAAGTGGCCAGCCCTGTGGTCACTATCTTGAACACTATGTACTTAACTGTCCACTTGTTGAGATATATAGTGGTAGTATAATCACTTATATAATATGTCAAGATATTTGCTTGCAACAGATTAAGTAACTTAGATAAAAATCCAGATGTACTCCTGTTAGCCCTTTTGGGGCCAAGTTCTTAGGCCTCTTGTGTACCCATATGTTCTTGCGCTACCATCCACAGGATGGACATGAGGTACACAATAAACCTGCCACTTCAGCGACAAAAATAAAAAAGTAAAAAGTCTCATCCTTATCTTTTTTGTGTCCTGATGTTTGTGATCCAAGGAACTGGAGTTACCTTTCCCTTCTTCGGATCAGATCTGATTGCTTCCCATTCCTTAGGCGCTGTATGACTCGTTGCGGGTTTACCACTTACCCGGAAACATAATGTTCAATAATAACCAACCCAATTAGTCTTAGTCATTTAGGGTCTCGTTTCCCTTCCTTCCGTTATTGGTTATTAACGGAATTTAAGTAAATGGGTCACACTTTACGTTATTTACTTGTCGATACTGGCGTAACTTTACGTTATTTATCTTTCTGTTACTGGCGTAGGTTTGCGTTATTTATCTTCTTGTTACTGGCGTAGGTTTGCGTTATTTATCTTCTTGTTACTGGCGTAGGTTTGCGTTATTTATCTTCTTGTTACTGGCGTAGGTTTGCGTTATTTATTTTGCATTTAATGGTGCAGCTTTGCGTTATTTATTTTGCCGTTAGTGGCGTTTACTTTATTAGCGTATTCTATCGTTACCAGCATATCATATCTCTACTGGCCATTACTTGGCAGTATTGGCGTATCTTGCCGTTAGTGGCGTATCTTGCCGTTAGTGGCGTATCTTACCATTACTGGAGTAGCTTACCTTACTGGCGTATTTTAGCATTGCTGGCGGAAGTGGGTATGTGTATGAGAACAGCGATGGAAGTGTGTATATTGTATATTTCTCTTGGCTGTGTGCGCTCACCACTGCTATATATACACACAAGTCAGGTGTTTTTCATGTGTTCTTAACTTCTTATACCTGTGTCCCCAACACATGTAGCTGGGACCTTCCTTCACTCTCTCTCTCCCTTACCTTCTCTCATAGTCTCTCTCTCACTCGCAAGCGGGTCATAAAAACGACTCCAACTGACTATTTTATATGAGAGTTTGAGTCCAATAAAGGAGCACATTCCCCATTGTTGTACATATACATCTGTGAACCTATGCTTGGGTCTAGGTAATAATAATAATAATAATAATAATAATAATAATAATAATAATAATAATAATAATAATAATAATAATAAAGCCAATGGTTATGCAGAGTTTGGGGCAACTTTGGATGCGACTCACAACAGTCTGCTAACACACAGGTACCTACTTACCGCTGCATGGGTGAACAGGTGCTGCAGGTGTAAGGAAATATGCCCAATGTTTCACCCGTGCCGGGGATCGATCCCGGACTCTCGGTGTGTAAGCTGAGGGCTACCAACCATGGTTAGATCGACCTTACAAAGTCGTTGAACACTGGAGGAACAAATTGTCCTCTATTTCTTCACGAAACAACTGGAGAAATAGTGCTAATGTTTAATTCACCGTAAGACAACAGGAACACACTTCTTGGGCTGACAGTGGTGGGTGTGTGGAAACTTAGTTTATTTCTTCCTACCTCATAGGGATGGCAATAATAATAATAAAATAATAATAATAATAACAATAATAATAATAATAATAATAATAATAATAATAATAATAATAATAATAATAATAATAATAATAATAATAATAATAATAATAATAATCATAATAATAATAATCTACAAGTACATGATACAACTTATACAGACCATAGCTGACATCAGTGACATACTATATAGAAAGCTCCTGGTTATGCAGAACATTTCGGGTAACTTAGGTTAATTTTGTCCCCAGGATGCTGCCCACACCAGTCGGCTAGCATCCGACTGCTAAGTGAACAGAGACAGCTGGTGCCTTAAAGAAATAGGGAGAAGAAGGACTTGGTTAAGACAGAATATTGAAAAATATTGTGGATAGAATAGTTAAGTGGTAAGAAATGTTAAGTGATTTTGTTTTAAGTGATTTTGTTTTTTGTCAGAGTGATAGTGAGAGGTTACTAGGATAACACCAGGGACTGCGTGAGAGGTTACTAGGATAACACCAGGGACTGCGTGAGAGGTTACTAGGATAACACC